ACTGCAGCTAGGCAGGACGTCCACTGCACTGAAAAGCAGTGCTCAGAGACAACATCTGTCCTAAGGCCAAGGTCGGCTGAAGGGTTTGTAGATGCTCTTTACCAAGCCAACGGTTCCTCTCTGCTCGGTTTGTCAGAGGCTGTTTCCAGCCCTAACGAAGGCTGCACTGCTGAGTGCCTAACGTGATCCTGGCTTCTTCCCTTCTCTAGCCTCCTGCTGCTGTATAATTCTTTTTATAAACTGATCATTTTATTTGCTAATACTTTCTGGCGGATTTTTATACCACCCTCCTGAGTTATACACCTGTAGCTTCCTAAGTGCTGTGAGGTTTTGGTAGAGTAATAGTGGCCTCATAGAATGAGGTAAGTATTCACCTCAGAGAGGCTTCTCAGAACTGGCAACTTCTTCCTTAAATGTCTGGCAGAATTCACCCATGCATCCATCTGGGCCTGGCTCTGGTTGTCATTCATCTAGATTATAAAGGGTGTGGGCACCATATAGGATTCTTTTTCATGTAACAGCCATGGGATCTGTAACGATGACCGACCTTTCATTCATGTACATATTTAGACAGTGTCTCTCTATGTTGCCCAGGTTAGCCCAACCTCAAACTCACAATCCTCTTGCTTCTGTCCTCTAAGTGCTGAGATTTCAAGCATGGGCCACCAGGCCTCCTCATTCATATAGAAATCTTTTCTTCAGCTGCCTACAGATTTATTGACTCCTGATTTTTCCAAGGAGCCAGCTTTGGGGTCCCTGGCTACTGATCTCCCACTTTCAATTCCGTAGACTCGGCTCTAGTTCTGTCTACTCCTTCCTTCTGATATCACTGCTCCTCCAGCTCACTAAAGCAATTATTTAGATGAAAGACTTTAAGCAATTTTAGTAAATCCCAGAGCATCAGAAGGCTGAGGGCTGTACAGCACAGTTACCACAGCCCGGTACATGATGTCTAAACTTTAAACAGACACGTGCGGCCACAGCTACTGTATAGGCAGCATGCTCTAGCACCTAACACATTACTGTTTGCACCTGGTCCCCGCTCCACTGTGCTCAGGTCTACAGGGTCCATGTATCTGGATGCTACAGCGTTTTAACTGCCTCTGTTTATAACAGTTCTTCATTTCTCAGATGGCAAGCATCCCAACTGCGTTCTCAAGACCCTTTTATCATCTGCCCCTTTCAACTCCATCCATCGGCTTGTCAAACCAGCAGGGTGACACAGCTGATCACTTTCCCCGGGCCTCTATACTTACCCACCCCTCAAATATCCCCAAGCGTCTCCTCCCTAGCCCCTTTAATGTTCTTAATCACTGAACACAGAGGGCTCCACGCTTGAGTCTCATTTCCTTAGTCTGGATGCCACAGTCTCATGACTTTCCTGTTACGGTTCAGACATGAAGTGTTCCCACCAAAGGCCCAAGTACTGAAGCTTGCTTCCCAGCCTATGGGGATGTCTGGGGAGATTGTGAGGTTTTCAGCCTGTGGGTCCAGCTGGAGGAGGTGAGTCACTGCGGGCATGTGACTCTTTCTTTTGGCTCCCTCTCTCCATGAGACAAGCAGCCTTGCCACCTGCTCCCACCTCGGTGACGTTCTGTCTCACAACAGCTCTAGAAGCAACAGAGCAGAGACGATGGACTAAAGTCTCTAAACTGGAAATAAATACATCTTTTCTCCTTTCAACTTATTGTATCAGAAATTTTATTATAGTGAGTAAAAATTGGCCAACAAACCACGTTCTGATAACTACCAAATTTCTGTTTCTAGTAAAACCTTTGTCTTGAACCCCATTTTTTAATAATCTATTTGAACAAGCAGCTCAGGTATGGCTAAACTAACCCTGATCTCTGCCTTGTGTGCCACCCATTCTCACACCCGCGCTCAGTCTATCAGCAACTCCTTTTCTAGAATCTGACTGCTGCTTACTATTCAAATCTCTCTTATCCATTCTTTCTTTACTTTCAACAACCCATGGTCAAGCGTAGCCCACAACATAAATGGAAAATTCCAGAAGGAATTCCTAAGTTCTAAACCACACAGCATTCTGAATAGTGTGATGAAATCTTTAACCATCCAGGTCTCCTCCAGCTTAGTCATGACTCACCCTTGTCATTTATCTGCCAACTGGACTAGTACAGACCAACCACCACAGTGTTGGTAATGCAATGCCTGTGGTCCATGTTGCGATGCCTCCATCACTCACCTTGCTTCATTTTATCACTCCAAACCTCACAGGAGATGGTGAATACAATGTATACTTTTAAACAGGTAGAGGCCGCCAGGGGCGGTGGTGGCCCACGCCTTTAATCCCAGCACTCAGGAGGCAGAGCCAGGCAGATCTCTGTGAGTTCGAGGCCAGCCTGGGCTACAGAGTGAGTTCCAGGAAAGGCGCAAAGCAACACAGAGAAACCCTGTCTCGAAAAACCAAAATAAATAAATAAATAAATAAATAAATAAATAAATAAATAAATAAAATAAAAAATAAACAGGTAGAGGCCATATGCATGCAACTTTTATTGCAGCATAATGCTATTAATTGTGCTATTTTATTAGTTAGTGCTACTGTGCCCACTTTGATAATTTTATCATATGCATGTACATAAAGGAAAATAGCACACTGTGTATAGGACTTGGTATTGTTGACGGTTTCAGGCATCCGTGTGGGAGGGGGTCTTGGATTGTCTCCCCCAGGAATAATGAATGACTATGGTACCCCTAACTAGTCTGACTCTATCAGTCAAGCCTGAACACATAAGTCAGGCCCTCTCATTCTTCTGCTCAACCCCCTCTGACCATCTCCTTCCTCCTGAGTAAAAGCCGGCCTTTCCTAGCATCCATGCAGCTTCCAGTTCATTCCTTTCCCTGCTCCTCTGCTCAAAGCCAGTGGACTCCTTGTTAGTCTTCTAGCAGGTTGATGTTCTCTGGATTTCTGTTTGCTGTACTTCTCCCCACCGCCAGCTGGAGGGCTGCCCTGCAGCCTTCAACCTCACGCCAGTGTATTGTGCGCACATTGCTTCGTACTATAAAACCCTGTGAGTTCCCTTCCCAATGCTCCCTACCCCTCACTCCTTTATTTTTCTTCTTAGTAACTGTTACCATCTAACTGGATACATTTCCATTTTTAAACCAATTATTTTACTAGCCCAATCTTTCTCCAAGGGGATGTTAGCTCCATTAGATCAAGGACTTAGGTTACATTATGTCCCTGGTTCTTGGAATTGCCCCAGCACAAAAGACAGGCTGATGTGTGCTACATGAACCTTGACAACGCACTCTTAAACCTGGTACTGCTAAGTGGGTCAGGACACGATGATGGTCAGCTTTAGTGCTCAACTGAACACAAGAAGGAAGCCCTGGGGGGTCTCAGTGAGGGAGTGTCCAGATTAGGTAGGCCTCAGGACACACCTATGAGCGGTTTCCTCAGTTGGGTCCACTGGGATGTGGGTGGCACCATTTCCGGAGCTGGGCCTCAGACAGAACGGAAAGGAGAGGAAGCTGGGCACCAGCACGCATTCACTCACTGCCCTCTGCTCTTGACCATGGCTGTAACAGACCAGCCGCCTCACGGCCGCCACCTTCCCTTCTCCACTGTGACAGACTGCACCCGGAGTCACGAGCCTTCTCCCCTGGGTTGCTCTGCCGGGGTATTTTATCCCAGCAGTAGTTAACTAAGAAGACAATACAAGTCCCAGTCTCTGGGACTAGGAAACAACCATTTCCAGTTTCACATGGAAAAGCCTTTACCCTGCAGCCAGTACTCAATTTGCTCTACAGAATGTGTCTCATCAGGTGGCAGCTTCTCTCCCACGTCTTTCCAGTGTCCTATAAAAAATTATCTTACCGTGGGAGAGAAAAAAAAAAAACCTCTTTCTGTTTGGCATAATGCTGCACGTGCAAGGTAAACTCATTGTGAAAATACAATTAACGAACACACAACTAATGTGTGTGAACGAACACAGATGAGCTTCTACTTCAAATCAAACTGTACTGAAGCAGGAGGACCCAGGACATTTAACTTTATTATCACTACAAGTTTAAAAGGCAAACTTGTTTTCTCATTAAATTCCCTTTAAATTAAGAGGACAATGGTACAGGCTCTTCCATACTGTCACACACTTTAAGTCTTAAAGAAATAATTTCAGGCTACAAAGTGTATCAACAAACAAAAATCTTAAGGAACACTACATTTGGAAGTTAACAGAAATGGGATGCAGGAGTGGGATCTTGGAAGTCTCGGACCCCATTTAACTCTCTGTCAACTGTCTGGACAGAGACAAGTTAATTTAGAGTCTGTGCCTCAGTTTCCTTATCTGCAAATGAGAGACGGTACTTGTTAGGGTTGTTACAAAGATGTTAAAAAGGTGCATCACTGAGTATGATACCTGACCGAAGACAGCCAGCTGTTACTGTAACACGAACACCATCACGCCACTGGCCGCACCTTAGGAAGTGCCTAGATACCAGTGCTGCGTCCTGAAGAGTGAGAAGTGTCACTCCTCAGTGGTACGTGCCTATCACTACAGTCCGCGGCCAATTCTAAATTCTGTGGAACACAGTAAAGAATGAATAAATGTCTTTTCCCCGACGCAGCTGATGGGAAACCGGGAGAGAACCGATCTGCTTTTCAACGACGCGTGTCAAGTGTGAGAGTTCACGATCACCTGCGGCCTAAGCAGAAAGGGTGCAAACCCTGTCTTCCCGTGGGCCCCCTGGGCAGGGAGTGTGCACAGCTCCCACGCACGCACTCCTTTGTGACCCGCCAAGGACTTCACCTCTTCCTAACTAGGCTCTGCATCCGAGCCTCGCTCGGACGGGCCGCCGGGGACTCCCGAATAACCGCGAGCGTGCTCCGCGCAACCTCCCAGGCCCGGCCCTCCCGCCAGCATCGCCCGCGGGGGAGCCGCTCGGACCCGCGTCCGGCCCCACCGGCCGCCAGGGCCCGCAAGGCAGGTGTCCCCGGCTCCCGCCCAGCGGCTGCCCACGGTCCCCGGCCCTGGTACCTGAGCCCGAGGCCACGGCGACAGCAGCAGCTCCTCCTCTCCGGCGGCGGCGGGCGGGGCGCGGACAGCCACCGAGCGGGAGCCCGCGCGGGGCAGAGCGGCCTGGCGCCACTCGGCAGCGCGCCCCCTGCAGGCGGGAGGCTCGCACGGCGGCTCGGCCTCCACGAAGTAGACTGCTGCTGCGCAGAGGTTTTTTTTTTTTTTTTTTTTTGGTTTTTCGAGACAGGGTTTCTCTGTGTAGCTTTGCGCCTTTCCTGGAACTCACTTGGTAGCCCAGGCTGGCCTCGAACTCACAGAGATCCGCCTGGCTCTGCCTCCCGAGTGCTGGGATTAAAGGCGTGCGCCACCACCGCCCGGCGTGCGCAGAGGTTTTGACAGTTTGCGCGCTGGCGCCGGCATCTCGCACTTTCACCTCTTTTTCTAAGTGCACGTCCACCCCCTCCTCCACTAAGAAATTTCGAAGGCAAAAGCAAATTTATTAAGTGCCACGGGCATTAATTTATTAGTTTCTGGCTGCGGAAGAGACGTTTAAAACCCAAACCCACACATTAGCAAATAATGGCTGACAGTCCTCCTCTCCGACGGGTTGTTTATTATTCGGATCGAATGCTTACACTTGACTTACCACGACCTGTGTACGGCCAGACCTGAAAAGTGATGATACACCCGTTTACTGGAACACTCTTTCACGTTTTATCAACTCCGGTCTTACAGGAGGACTTATAAACACTTAACCGTTCCTCCTCTGGATTCTAGCACCAGCCACCCCACCAACGACCCTGGAAGGTGTCATCGCTTCAGGGATTCAGTCTAAGTTTTTTCCTGGCCGTGTCAAATAAGTGTTTAGGATTTCAGCCTGGCTGGAGGGAATCTCACATTTCCTTCCCTTAGGGATTGTAAGGAGGCTGCAGAGAGCTCAGTCGGTTCGGGACTTGCTTGGCATGAGGACCAGAAGTCAATCTCAGAACCCACATACAACGCCAAGCATGGGGGCCATATGTTGTAATCCCAGTTCCGGGGAGTGGGAGACAGTGGGAACCCAGGGGTCCCCTGGCTGGCCAACCTGGAGAGCCCAGGCCTCAGTGAGCAATCCTGTCTCAAAAACAAGATGGTTGGCTCTTGAGGTATGACACCTGAGGCTGACCTCTGACCTCTATGTGCAAGAGCACAGACATGTACACACAGACACATAAGTACACACACACACACACACACACACACACACACACACACACACACACATTCTAAGATACCACGGCAGGCTGAGTTCAGCAATCCCCAGCGCTGCAAATCATGTGAGGATATTTTACATTTACTTGTGCAGTGACTAATCATAAATATTCTTTAAATTGGTGCTACATTAGTCAATTTGTCAGTGACTGAGTTCATAATATCTTCATGTATGCCCCTGCACTGTGTCAAATCACTGGGTAATTTAAATGGTAATTATATTCATATAATTTATTCTTCCCTAGTTGTTGGCTCATCAAATAACCTGAGAGTTTGTTGATTGCTTAGATTCTAATTTATCTTCTCTTCTTCATGAATTATGGCTTCTGTTCAACAGGAAGAACTTTGGGACGGTGAAGACAGGTTTTTTTTTTCTTCCTCTGATGAGAGTAAGGAAATGGACTGTAAGTTGCATGTGTCTTACGACTCCTCCCCATCACTGCCTTTGGGGACTTGACTCAGTGGACACAGAGTGTCTTCATGGATGTATTTTTACATCCTAGCAATATCTTGATACTTACTGGAAGTGACCATAAATCACAAGATTACATCTTTCTAAATGCAAACTAAAGAGTCTCCTACCATGTTCTTGCTTAGTTGATCCTCAGAATGCCTGGACCCACCCGGTGCTGATTCCCCGGGGAGAATTGCTTTGGAAGTCTGAAGAGAAAGTAGCAATCTTAATCAATGGGAGCTGAGATATTAACTTCACAAAACACATAGTCATGTGAACACAGTTCCAGAATCCCTTCATGGGCTTGGAGAGGGGTCTGTATAAGAGGGGGTTGTACCTCAGTTACCTATTGTCATGGTGACAAACTGCCGCAAATCTAATTGTTTAAGCAATTGCATTAGTCATTTTACAGGTCAGGAAGTCATACTAGATAATCTAGAATGACCTCCACATCTCCAGACCTCTGGACAATCACTCTTGCAAGCCCCTTTCCCATGAGTGATGGTATCTAGATAGAATCTAGGCCCCTGGGTGTGCTTGGAGAGGACTATCTTGATTACATTAACTGAGGTAAGAAGATCCACTGTGGGTGGCAGCATTCCCTGGCTGTGAGCTTGGCTTGTGAAGAGACAGGGGACTGAGCAGAAGCAGGTGTTTGCTGTTCTTGCTTCCTGACCATGGATACACTCCGACCAGCTGTCTCCAGCCCCTGCTGTCATGGCTTCCCAGCAAAGATGGACTGTACTCTGAACTGTGAGCCAAAGTAAGCCTTTCATCCCCTAAGTTTTCTTTTCTTTTTTTTTTTTTTTTTTTTTTTTTTTTTGGTTTTTCGAGACAGGGTTTCTCTGTGTAGCTTTGAGCCTTTCCTGGAACTCACTTGGTAGCCCAGGCTGGCCTCGAACTCACAGAGATCCGCCTGGCTCTGCCTCCCGAGTGCTGGGATTAAAGGCGTGCGCCACCACCACCCAGCTTTCTTTTCTTTTTAAATATTGTGTATACAGTATTCTGCCTGCATGTGTCCCTGCAGGCCAGAAGAGGGCGCCAGATCTCATTACAGGTGGTTGTGAGCCACCATGTGGGTGCTGGGAGTTGAACTCAGGACCTTTGGAAGGGCAGTCAGTGCTCTTAACCACTGAGCCATCTCTCTGGCCCCCCTAAATTTTCTTTGTCAGGTTATTTTATCACAGCAACAGAAAAATAAGCTAAGGTGCTATGCAAGGTTGAGTGTGTGTAGGTTCTGGGGACTGGACTGTGGGCATCTTGGAAGGACTGCCATCTTGTGCATTATGAGGCCTTGAATCTTAAATTTCATTCCAATCAGGAAAACATGCTTTTTTGTCTTCATTCCAAGTTCTGACTGTAAAATTTTCATTGAATAATGAAAAAGAGGAGCCTTTCCCATCGAGGAAAGGGGGCAGCGATATCTGTGGATAAACATTTATTCTGACACTCAAATTAATATTTACTCTGAGGAGTTAAGGGGGACCATGGTGGGGGCAAAGAATCCGTGTGGCCAAGCTACATCTTTACCCCCGAATGCTCAGTATGTTCACAAGAGTGCCAGCACATGGGCTGTATTTGGGGATGGTTGCTGGGCGGCTCTCCACCCTAGTGGCACATTCTAACCACCACATTAGCTTTAAAATCACCTGTGCCTAGTCAAGACCAGTTCAGGGTTGTTTAGCAGCAGAGTCTGGGCATCTGTGTTTTGCTGTTCAGGGAATTCTAACATGTAGCCAGGGCTGAGCTGAGCAGAGAACAGGGCTGAGCGAGGACCACTGAGCGAGGAAATGGATGCAGGAATGCTCAGGACAAGATTTTCTTCACCCAGGAGGTTTCTTTCTTCTTAAGAGAAATAAAAGTCTGGGCTGTGCCAATTAAGCCTTCCTACATGGTCTCAAAAATTGCAGAAGACTTTTTAAAACAGTACTGACCCGATTGGAAAAGCATGGCCCTCCGGCTGTAACCAGTTCTCTGTGCAGAAAGAGGTACGTTTAGAATGGGGAGTGTTTTTAAAACACTCAGGACTTGAAACGAAGAGGCCCATCCTTAGCCAGTCTTGGTGGTGTAAACCTTTAGTCCCAGCTCTCATGAGTTCGAGGCCAGCCTGGTCTACATAATGAGTTCTAGGACAGCCAGGCTTCATAGAGAGCCGGTGTCCCTGTTCTTGGACATCTTGTTTCTCGTAGTACTGCAGAATGACCAGGAGAGGGAGACACGCTCCTGAGAAGAGTCGCTCCCACAGGTCTAATGTCTCTAATCAACTGTGACTCAGGTGTGTAGGGTGTGAAGAAGGTGCCTGAGTTCTCAGAACCACAGACCAGACTGAGCAAGCCACTGAACGCCATACGACAGCATGCATTCACCAAAATGAGATCGATCTCTGTCCTCTAACGCTTTGAAACACTTAAACCACAAGAAAATGCATGTGCCAGGCAGCGTCTTTGCAAAACTGAGGAAAAATGCAAAGCCTCCAGGAAGCAGAACAATTAGAAAGTGTCTCAAGCCAGACTTTCAAGATGAGACCTCCCTCCCTTATTAATTACAAAATAAACATCTTGGGACTTGATTTTTTTTTTTTTTAATTACAAACATACAGCTGGAACCCTGGGAAGAAGAAGATTGTTTTTCTTTGCCACACCAGAACCATCCAGAATCATCCAGCTTCACCACAGACAAAACGACTCTACAGGAACACAGATAGTGTCTGGCACTAATTAACTTCCCTCCCACGGCTACACAGAGGCAGCCCTGTGAGCAAGTTCCTTCTGGGAAGGTTTGAGCCGACGCCCTGCAAATCCTGTACTGGTGAGATGCTGGGCTGTGGGGGCAGAAGCAGAACTACATGTTGATAAGATAAAAGATTTGCTCTGGAGCTACCTTATGCAACTGTGCCAGCTGCTCAGGAAGAGAGGGTTTGGAAGCGGGTGTTGGAGGAGCAGTAACTACCTACCGGCTGGCAAAATGCACTTGCCCCCAGACATACTGACCTGAGTTCAATCCTCAGGACTCACATGGTGAAAGGAAAGAACCAAGTCCCACAAGTCATCTCTGAAAACTTGTGATGCGCACATGCGTGCACCTGCCTACACACACAGAAGATGGATAGATGAATGGATGGATGGATGGATGGATGGATGGATGGATGGATGGATGGATGGATGACTGACAGACAGACGGACGGACAGACAGATAGATGCAAAAATCATTTTGCTAAAGTCACACCGCAGTCCCTCTGAGGATTCTAGGAAGCCAAGCACAGCTTGGACCTCTTTAGAACAGCTCTCTCTATAACTACTGCCCCTGCCAGACCTTCAACACATGTGGACTGTGGTTCTGCAGGTGAGCAGGAGCATGGGTCCAGAAGATCTAAGTGTGGGTGGAAACTGCCCTGTGCCTTTGCGTGGCACTGTATCTGACTG